GCCAAAGAAGGGCAGCTAGGAATTCGGCAACGTTCAAACCAAGTCACCACTCCCTGCTCCACACGGCCTGCCAGCACGTCACCCACACCCTTGATTTTGTAGATGCCAGAGATGGGCATGCGCATGGGGGCGCTCACAGGGCGCTCTGGCACTCGGCACATCTTGTCGAGCACATCGTACACCTGCCGACATGGCAAAGGCCCACTTTTTGGTTGGCTGATCTCTCAAAAAGAATGCCTTTCAAGGAAAAATACAACGATTTAGCCCAGAAACGGTATCCACGTGGATGGTCTCGCTGCCAACCTCCACGTCCTGGCCCTTCCACCAACCCATGTTCTCGGACTTCTTCAGCAGGTTGTCCCCCATCCAGCCGGAGATGGGCATCACGGGGGTGTTCTTCTCAATGAAGTCCTTCTTCCAGCCCACCTATGCCGTCAAACTGGCAACCCCCAAAGTGGACTGCGACTTTCGTTTTTGGTTTCAACCAGAAAAACAACAAGCGCCACCTTCACGAGCATGCTCTTCATCTCGTTCGCGATCTCGTCGTACCTGGCCTGCTTGTATCCCGCGGTGTCGCAGTCCATCTTGTTCACACCGATGCAGATCTGCTTCACGCCCAGCAAGTTGATGAGCCGGGAGTGCTGCCGGGTCTGGCCTTGGATTTCACCGGCCTTGTGGTTCCCTTTGGCGATCGCCGTGGTGAAGTTGCCATCGGCCGGCACCATGATCAGCGCCACGTCGGCCTGGGAGGCACCGGTGATCATGTTCTTGATGAAGTCCCGGTGACCAGGCGCGTCAATGATGGTGTAGTGCCACTTCTCCGTGAAGAACTCCTTGGTGGTGCAAGAGATGGTCACACCGCGCTCGCGCTCCTCTTTCTGCCTGTCCATGAAGAACGCAAAAGCAAAGGAGCCCTTGCCCAATCGATCTGCCTCCGCCTTCAACTTCTCAAGCTCGCGCTCGGGCAGGCCGCCCAGCTCAAAAATCAGACGTCCTGTAGTGGTGCTCTTGCCACTGTCAACATGACCGCAGATCACGATGGACAAGTGCTGTTTCTCCGAGTTGGCCGGCATCTTGGGGAATTCGCACTTTCGCAATTAGCTGCGTCGTTGGAGGAAACGGCTGCGGAAAACACATACGTGTTTTTTTATGCAAGGCACACTTGGACTATTGCCAATCCGGGTTTTGGAAACACGTGCCATGAATTCGAACTCAAACCACACATCAAGCATCAACAAGATTCACAGCATGATCAACAAAACCAAACAAAACAATGAAATTGTTTTTTTATGCAAAGGTAACAAACTACTCCCCACATTCACACACGCACGCACGCACGCACACGCACACGAACACGCACACGCACACGCACACGCGCACACACACACACACACGCACACATGCGCACACACACACACACACAGACGCACGCACGCACGCACGCAAGCACCCACCCACAACCACAACCACAAACACAAACACAAACACAAACACAAAAATAGACACAGACACAAACACAAACACAAACACAAATACGCACACACGCACACACGCACGCACGCACACACAAAACACACAAAACACACACACACACACACATTTCAACTGCCGAAGGAAAGATCTCATCTTTCAAGTACAACCGGTAAATTTCGAGTGGGTGGATTTTTGGTTCGCAAGACACTTGGCTTCTCTTCAGTGTCGAAAACGTTACAAGCAACAATAACGGGCCAAAAGGACTTTGTATCACCGGCAAGTACACAGAGCTGATCAGGCCCTGCTTCCCGTGCAATCAAGTAGCTTCGTTGGACGTGAACCCTGATTGCACGCCACGTCCCCCTGCTGAGATTGCAAGGTTGGTAACAGGGTAGTTTTGTCACGCCCCTCCACGAGGGGCGAGAGCTTCCTTGGAAGACGCCCTGAAAGAGATTCTAATGTCCAAAAAGTCCTGAGCGGCGTGGGGAGCGGAAAGAAACACCACCCTCACGAGTACGCTCAGGAGACGAGGTCCAAGGATCACCATGGTGTGAATAGATAAAAGAGGTCACGCAAGGCTCTCTCTTTAGAGGGGGTTTCCCAAATGGATTCTATTCTACCTGAGAGGCTCCTAGCACTCGTCCGTCCAGGAAATGACCTCGTCCTGCGAAGGATTCGAAGTCTAAAACGCTGCGTGCAGGCGTGTGGCTGCAAAATAATGACCCCTAGATATGCTTGCAATTTGGCTCCAGGTTGCATTTCAAGCGAGCCAACCTTTGCAGGGCTAAGAAAAAAACAAAAAAAAAGAAAACAAGGGGTCCCAAAAAAAGGGGTCCCCGAAAAAAAGGGAAAAGGGGTTTCCTTTGGCAAAGCTTGACCTCGCTTGAAATGCAACCTGGAGCCAAACTGCGGCGCATATCTAGGGGTCATTATTTTGCAGCCACACGCCTGCACGCAGCGTTTTAGACTTCGAATCCTTCGCAGGACGAGGTCATTTCCTGGACGGACGGGTGCTAGGAGCCTCTCAGGTAGAATAGAATCCATTTGGGAAACCCCCTCTAAAGAGAGAGCTTGGCCTGCTCTGCAAAGAAGCGTGCTCTGCAAAGGAGAGCGCTCTGCAAAGGAGAGTGCTCTGCAAAGAAGCGTGCTCTGCAAAGGAGCGTGCTCTGCAAAGAAGCGTGCTGTGCAGAGGAGAGTGCTCTGCAAAGAAGCGTGCTCTGCAAAGAAGCGTGCTCTGCAAAGGAGCGTGCTCTGCAAAGGAGAGTGCTCTGCAGAGGAGCGTGCTCTGCAAAGAAGCGTGCTCTGTCTTCACCGCGCCCGAAGCTGACTCACCGAAGCTGACTCACCGAAGCTGACTCACCGAAGCTGACTCACCGAAGCTGACTCGCCGAAGCTGACTCACCGAAGCTGACTCACCGAAGCTGACTCACCGAAGCTGACTCACCGAAGCTGACTCACCGAAGCTGACTCACCGAAGCTGACTCATTGATTTCTCTAGTTGTGTGTCTTCGCGCGGCGCAGTTTGCAGCGGAACTCCACGCGGGCAGCACCCAAAAAATGGGTGGTGCCTGTTTCCAGTTCCGAGGCACTTCGAAAACATAAGTGGCACTTATGCTTTCGAGCATCACATTCCTGCCCGGCATCAGAGGCTTCGATACCTAGCGCGCCACATTCCTGCCGCGCCACCTGCCTGGCATAGAAGCCTCCATCCGGCCGCGCCACTTGCCCGGCATAGACGCCAGCGTACGCGCCGCGCGCATTCTTGTTTCGCACGATTTTGCATGGTTTTTGACATGGTTTTTGCATGGGTTTTGCATGGTGCGGTTGCATGACATGATTTTGACATGACATCTTGTTTTTGCATGACATGATTTTGAACATGACATTTTGACATGTTGGTTTTTTTGCACGGTTTTGCGTATCATGTGGTTCAAGCCCTAATGCCCCTCCCCCTCACCCCCCCTACCTCTTTTTGCTGTCAGGTGTACATCCCGGAGAACTTCGCGGCGCTGGGCGGGAGGCGGGGCGGTGCCGAGCGGGCACCTAGGTAAACGTGCCGAGCAGGCACTGTGCCGAGCAGGCACTAGACGTGCCGAGCGGGCACCGTAGGCACCCCGGTGCCGAGCGGGCACCGTGGGGGCGCCAGTGCCGAGCGGGCACTTGCAGTGCCGAGCGGGCACTTGTAGGCACTACGGTGCCGAGCGGGCACCGTAAGAGTGCCAGTGCCGAGCGGGCACCGTACGTGCCGAGCGGGCACCCGGTGCCGAGCGGGCACCGTAGGCACAGCGCCAAACAGGCGCAGCTTGGAGCAGGCGTTGTGGGCCACTGTGAAAGTGGCGGCCACTGTGAAAGTGGTTGAGTACTGGCTCGCCCAACGACCCCTTAGTACTGGCTCGCCCAACGACTCTGAGTACTGGCTCGCCCAACGACGTACTGGCTCGCCCAACGACTCTGAGTACGGGCTCGCCCAACGACTCTGAGCACGGGCTCGCCCAACGACTCTGAGTACTGGCTCGCCCAACCTCGTTTGATGGCTCGCCCAACGTGGCTTCGATACCGAGCGCGCCACATTCCTGCCCGGCATAGAAGCCCGGCCGCGCCACCTGCCTGGCATCGAAGCCTCCACCCCGGCCGCACCACCTGCCCGGCATCGGAGCCACAGCCCGACGGGTTCGCCCAACAACTCTTAGTAGCTGAACTCCACGCGGGCAACGCCCAAAAAATGGTCCGCGCCTGTTTCCAGTTCCGAACTCCACGCGGGCAGCAACCAAAAAATGGTCCGTGCCTGTTTTCAGTTCCGAGGCACTTTGAGAACACAAGTGGCACTTGTGTTCTCGAGCATCACAGCCGCGCCGCCTGACACGCCACCCGGCCGCGCCTGCCCGGCAGAGCCCTGCCGAGCCCGCGCCAAGGTCGGAATTCTTCCCAGGAAAAAAAAATTCCAGTTGTCCTGTGGGGGGACAACTGTCTAAAGTTTCGGCGAACCTGCCCGGCATCGGAGCCACGCCAGCCCGCCCCCTCAATCCTGTTGTCACCCCAGGATTGCCTCCTTCAATCCTGTTGTCACCCCAGGATTGCCCCTTCAATCCTGGGCTCACAACAGGATTGCTCCGAAGCCCCTCAGACCGGCGTTCCCGTTTGGCCCCACCGGAGCCCCTGAAGGGCGTCGATTCTGCTCACAAGCCGCAGCGGGCGTCGACGTCGAATTGGGTCATCTCATCGAGGCGACCGACATCGATGTTAATCTGCTCATGCAGGCGGTCGGTTTCGATTTTGAGCTGCTCATGGAAGGTGATGACTTCTTCGCCTACGATGCGGTCATAGAGGGCGTCGGTTTCGACTCCGAGCCACTCATGCAGGGCGTCGGTTTTGAATTTGAACCGCGCCTCGAGGTTGACGGTGTCGGTCAAGAGCTGATCACGACGGACGTCGGTTTCGTCTGGGAGCCACTCACGGAGAACGTCGGTTGCGCTCGCAAGCCGGCTCAAGGCGGCGTCGGTCTGGATTTTGAGCACCCCCTGAATGCCGTCGGTTTGGACTTTGAGCAGACGCTGGAGGGCGTCAATCCTGTCTTTGAGCCACGCTGCGTTGGTCCGCGTCGCGTGTTCTGCCATCCCGGCATCTGTGCGCCGGCGCTTCCTCCTCTCGTCGCTCTTCCTCTTCTTGCACCCACTGCTGGTTTGCAAGGTGCAGCCGGCGCATCTCATCGGGCTCCTGGCTCTGGGCGTCGTACAGCCTTTTCTGGTTTGCGAACCAGCAGTCCCAGACAGCAACGTCGGCCTCCCACATCTCGAGCAGGTCTCGCTGCGAAACCATACAGGCTTGCGGGCGCGCCGGAGAGGCCATGGTCTCAAGATGAGAGTAGAGGCAGCTGTGTAGGCGCGAGTTGTTTAAAACCCACAGGCGCCAGCCCGCCCGCCGCGGCAGAGACCACCGGAGGCCAGCAGGATGAACGCACCGCCGCGCCACCTGCCCGGCATCGGAGCCACAGCCCGACGGGTTCGCCCAACGACTCTTAGTAGCTGAACTCCACGCGGGCAAGGCCCAAAAAAAGGGCCGCGCCTGTTTCGAGTTCCGAGGTTCGAAAAACACAAGTTCCACTTGTGTTTTCGAGCATCACATTCCTGCCCGGCATCGGAGGCTTCGATACCTAGCGCGCCACATTCCTGCCGCGCCACCTGCCCGGCATAGAAGCCTCCCGGCCGCGCCACCTGCCCGGCATCGGAGCCGCGCCAGCCCGCCGACATGGAGGCACGCAGCTGATGATGTCTCGTATGTTATCACCAACTACGAAGCAGTGTCCGATTATGTCGGACACTGGCTCCATCGCGCGCAGGTCTCACGATTGACCGGCGCCACCGGTCAAATCATTTCGGCGAAAACATATGTAAACATGTTTGAAGGACCTGTCACCGGCAATATCCCGGAGGTCCTGGACAACGGAGAGGTAACTGACGGTACGCACGTCACCGCAGCGCAGCTGGCCCTCGCTTTGACGCCCTACGTAACGGACCTGGCGGTGAACACGGCAGCCTCCGGCAACAACGCGGCTGCCATCCAGTCCCTGGACGACAGAGTCACCGCAGAGCTGGCCTCAAAGCTGGACAGCAGCGCGCTGGCGCCGGCAATTGCGCCCCTGGCCACGGCGGCG